GGAAACACACAGCCCCGCCGCCCCGCGGAGGCCTGGGGGGGAGGCGGCAAGCGCTGCCGGCACACGGCGTGTTTGTGTGTGCGTGCTTGTGTTCCCCTCAACCCTGCGGGGCAGGGGCCCCGCTTCGTTTCCCCTCACCCCCCACCCCCCCGCCTCTCAGGCCCGGCCCGCCCGCGGGAACGCGCTCTCGGGCGCCGTTACGGCCATGGCGGCAGGACTCACCTCAGCTCGAACCCCGGCTTCTGGCTCCTTCCTCGGGCGCGGCTGCGGCAGCAACGGCAGCCGGCGGCGGTTACCGGAGGAGCGAAAGGGCGGGGGGAAGAAGGCGGGGCCGGGCGCCCTGCCGCACAGCGACACACGGACAGGGACAGAGACACGGACAGCCCTCCCCCCGGCACCCGAGGCGCGCCCTACCGCGACCGGCCACTTCTCTCCGCCGGAATCAACAAGCTTTTCAAAATGGCGGGTTCTCGGGCGGGGAGAAGGAAGCGGGAAGGCGGCGGCCAATCAGCGCCCGCGAGCCCGCCCGGCGCGAGGAGGGCGGCCGCAGGGGGAGGGGGAAGGGGCGCGCGCTCAGAGGGCGGGGCGGGCGCCCGCCGGCGGTGACGTCAGGCCGCGCGCGGCGGATGGCGGTGCGGCGGCGGCGGCGGGGGGGAAGGCAGCGCGCGCCGCCGCTGAGGGAGGGGCGCGAGGGGCCGTCACCTGCACCGGCGCGTAACTCTCTGCGGGCAGCGGCTCCTCAGCGCCCTTTCCCGCCCGTGTTCCTCGGCGGGCCGGCCCCCTTCTCTCCCGTGCAGGCGGGAAGGAGCTCGGCGGTCCCGGCTGCCTCTTCCGTGCAGGAGGGGAGGGGCAGCCGCGATGCTGACACAGGCTGAGGGGTTGCGGCCGAGGGAAGGAAACGGCTGTTGGAAGTAGAAGCCGGGACCTAAGCGTGAGGGCTACTCCTTACCCCTGGTAAAATGTGGGAGGCCGCCGGCGGCCCCCCAAAAGAGCAACGGCCCGGTCCCGCTGCCCGTGCTGTGGCCTGCCAGAGTTTAAGACTTGATCTTCAGACCAGAGAGGAGGCCTGGCTGGGCTTAACGTGCCTTCAGCAGGAGTCAGGAGTACTCAGAAAATACGTTGGAGAAGGAAGTTGTAGCCCGAACTAGCCAGCGCCGGGGACTGTCTCGAAGCCACATGGTACTGCCAGCAGCTCTTTGGTTAGTGTGAGTAGCGGTATGGAGGTAGCTTACTTCGGGAGGGACAAGATAAAGGGGTGAGGAGAGAGGAAGGGCGAAAAATGTTGCACTGATGTGAATTGCTAATTTTAGACGTGTTTAAAGCAGAGTCATGTAGAATTGGGAATAAAATAAGGAAATATATGTAATATAAATACTGCAAAAAAATAGCATCTGGCAATACTTAGGAAATACTGCAATTCACATACAGTGTACAAAAGGAAAGTCTGGGGAGTGTATATTAATCACCCCCAAATTTAGGCTACAGAGATGCAGATTCTTTATGTTTTTAAAAACTTTTTTAAAGCTGATGCAATCACAGATGATGGTGGTCTTAAAAAGGAAAAAAATGCAAATTATTTACCAACAATACATAATTAGACAAGCCTGAAGTTAACATGCGATAAGGAGACAAAATATCTCATCATTAAACCATGGGCTACACAAATGGCACGAGACAGTTGTTTGAAGACGGGAGACTACTTCCAATAAGATGAATAGGTTTGGATTAGTTCAGAATCTTGACAGAAGACATCCAAAGGCTGTGCTTCAGGTTGGTTTGATAAATTAGACCATTGTTTTGTAAAGAGGGATGTGTTTACCCAGTGGAGATGATTTATCTAATTGAACTATCTATGTTAATGTCCTACACATGCCACATTAGAGCTGCATCTTGAGGAGAAATAGAAGGTAACGGTTTCATTGATCCTTTTAGTGAAGACATCACTTTTAGTAGCAAGCAAACCCTTAAATGTAGATGGAATTCAGTATTTTAGGAATTTATAATACTCATAGTGCACATAAATTGCATTTCGCCACAGGCTTCTTCTGACAGAACTTCCAACAGCTATGATAACTAACCTTTCCTGATTCTGTGCGTTGAAACTTTTTCTGCCCTTCATAGTGTCTTTTTGATTTATGAATTTATGGAGTAGTTTCAGTATGCTGTTAACAGTTTCACAATTGGTTGTTGCATCTCCCAGACAAGATTGAGACAATCTGGATTAAAAAGATTTAGAAAAAAAAAAATCTGCAAAGCTAGAATTTGGGAGGAGTGGGCAAATTTGGAAGAAGAAAATTTCAGATATGTGTTAGAGGTAACTTGCTAAGTTTGAGAAAAGAGACTGGAACTGGCTTATTTTCTCATTTTTTACTAGGAGTAAGAGTGGTCATTCTCAATACACTGCTTTGGGATGCTTCACTCTATCAGCACTTGTACAGTGCTGCCTTTTCTCTGGGCAACCTAACGAAGTTAATTTATGGATACAATTTCAGCTGAGAGTTGAGAGACCTACGTGAGATAATTATATTGGTGTAAAATGTTAGCCTTACCTAAGGCTCACATTTAGATATCAAAGGGTGTGCTGCTTCGACATTGTAACTGAGTAGAATTAAATGGTGAAAAATGTTTTGAAGGTGCTGTAAAATGAAGCAGCTGGCACATTTGGATACATTACAAGTTTGTATTGTGTGCTGGAGTGCACCAGACAGTGCAATTTTAAGCATGGTTACCAGCCTCTGTTAATTAATATAAACAAGTCTTTTCAGTGAGTTCAGAGCAGCTTGTATTAGCAAGCAATGTGGATAGGCTTCAGTATAGAGCATACAGCAGGTTTTGAGAAGCATTTGGGAATAAATGTGTAGGCTTCACGGAGCAGACAGAGTCCCCCAGGGCTGCGTTTATTTTGTTTACTGCAGTGTCCTGCCATCAATGCAGAAACTAGCAGATCTGTTGTGGGCAACATTACAGGAAAGGTCATCTGTAGATTGCAGAGAAAGTGCCCTGCATCGAAGTGTGTACTCAGTAACTCTAGGAATTCTGTCCATAGGGTAAAATACCACAGCAACAAACTATGGGGTGCTACTTTTTAATAATGTAGGTACTGTTGCTTTGTGTTCTTGTATGAGTCATATAAATACACATATAGGCTTCAGCTTCTCTGTAGCAGTCACGTGACTACATATTTCCTAGAAATGTCAAAGTGGCTTGTCTATGAAATGCTGCGAAAAGTCCTGTGTAAATGCCACACACATCTTAACATTCGAAGCATTATATGGCGTTTGAAGGGTTATGTAATTGCTGCTGAAAGAAGGAATCTAAATATGAACTGATAATTGAGCTAATTAACACAATTTATAAGACGAGAAACTTGAAAACTATTTGAGCAGTATATAGGTAAGTTATGGTGTGATTAATAACATGCTATCTCCAAGTGTTTACTGCATATTTATGCAAGATATTTTACATTTGTTGGCTGATAAGAATACCTGATTCTCAAAGTGTTTCCTAAGGGGGTCCTGCTCCCTTCTGACCTCTTGTGTTCCCCTTTTATTCCCCATCTAAATGTTTCAGGATTAGCAGACTGTTGCATCATCCACATGTGTCATCTGTTTCTTACCCTTAGGAAGGTTAAAGAGTTGTCCTTGTAAATACAGATTGTCGCAAACGTGGAATGAGTAGTTGATATGAATCAACCTAAGCACTTTCACTGTATTTTAGCAATCTCTATATGGGCCAGTGTATCAGGGTAACTACATGCAAAAATTCAACAAAACTGTAAAGTAGTAAGAAACTTCAGAGACAAACAATGAATCAAAATAGCAAATAAAGTCACATTTTCCATCTGTGTGTGAATGACAACGCTGTACCCTGACAGACTGAGTTCAGCATTGGGATTTCTGTCAACTTTACAGTTCCCACAAAGTTAAATCTTACTCTGCAGGGTTTGAAAATTACCGATTGCATGTGTTTAATAACAGTACCACTGTGTGCTCAGTCAAAGCATGCATGCCTGTTGCGTCTTCTACAAAGTATTTTGATCTAGTACTAGAATCTAGTATTTAGATCTACAGCTTCAGTCAGGGAACCCTGCGCAGGTGGCAGCTCCATAAACTCCCCCGTGTCCCTGTGCTGACCCCGAGGGTCGGGGTGCTGAAAGGGCTTTCAGCGAGAGGTCCCACGAAGGACAGTGCCTGCCCGGTGGGGAATGCTCACTCGATCGCTGGCCTCCTGCTGCTTTTGAGACAGTTTCGCAATGAACAGCGTACGTGCCCCTTAACTGTAAATGTGTGACTCGCACATTAGAAAAAGAAACCGTGTCAATTCATTTACGCTTTAAGGTTTGAGTCCGTAAATTTCTACGTGGCAGCTCTGTAGGTTTTGGTACGGTTGGTGGTTTACAATGACACGTTTTTAAACTCTGTAAATGGAAAACTGCTCCAGGGGTATTAGTACTCTGCACTAGGACAAGTTTGCGCTTAACTCATTGTCAAGTTGAACCCGGTGGTTTTCCCCGTGCACTGCGTGTAGGTAGTGGCAACCTGTGTTTAAAAAAAAAAAACCAAAAAACCCAAAAACAAAAAACCAACAAACCAACCAAACAAAAAAAACCCCACAACCAAAACCGAGAAAAAGGAGAACCTAATAGCTTTCTAATAATTTAAGGTGATCTTGGGAATGACAAATTATTATACTTTGACGCTTTCCAGAAGACGAGAAGCTTTGCAGAGTGAGCTCCCCCCTGGCCGGCACCCAGCCCGGCTCGGTGGCAGATGAATTTGCCCTTTGTGCGCGGCGGCGGCAGCGCCAGCGCCGCCTCGAGTCCCACCCCCGGGGGCACCCCCCACGCCCCCCCCCCGGCTCTACCCGGGGCCGCCGGTTCCTCCGCGCTCCGCCCGCAGCGGCCCCGGTGACCGGGAGCGGGGGGAGGCTCCCGGCCGCCTTCCCGCCCGTTGCCGCCGCCGGGCTTCCCGCGGGAGCGGGGCAGAGCTAAGGAGCGGCGTGCGGCGGCCGGCCCCGCGCTCCCCCGCTCCGAGCGGCCGCGGGAGCCCGGCCCCCCGCCAGCCCCCGGCAGCGGGAGGCGCTCCGCTCCGCTCCGGGCCGGCGCTGCGCTCCCGGTGCGGTCGCCTGGTGTGGCCCCCGGGGCTCTGCCCCTCGGCCCCGGCGGGCAAGCGGCGGGGGGAGCGGAGCCCGCTTCTCTCCTTTGCCCACGGGCGGGCTTCCCCACCCACGCCTTTCAGGTGAACAGGCCGTGATCGCTGGCTCGGGGCACGCGTGGGAACGGCGTTATCTTCTGCAAAGGAGGTGAACTCTTCTCAGCTTTGGGATTTTCGTCGGACTCCTCTCGGTTTCGGGAGTTTAGGAATGCGGGTTTGCTTGACGGTTTGCTGCAGGACTAAGGTAATGTGGCAGTGGGATTTAGTGGGGTTTTCATTTTACATACAAGTAATATTCTGAAGACTGATTAGGGTTTTAATTTTTGTAGGTAACGTTCATTTAAGCATGTGCTCTTTTAACAGGACTTTTTAAGGTATTTTCCACATACCTTTTCTCTAGGTATGCTTTGCCATATGTGATTTGCAAGTGCAACCCGATAAAAGTTTCTAAGCCTCAAAGAGACTACTGCTGTGAACAGTCTTCTCACTTTTCAGATTTGAGCCCTTAGCATTTATTCGGAAATACATAAACTAGGTATAGAAACAAATATTAAAGTCTCCAAGTATTCACAGTCCATAGTTGAAACAATTACATTTATTAATAGACAAAAAAACCCTGTTAAAGTTGTGTAAAGGTTTATACATTTGCCTTTTATATTCAAGCTACTTTAAAATTCCAGGGCCTGCCATGTGAATTCTGTATGAATCACGTCTTACTTTTAAGTGAATGGAATTTCACACTGAAAATATTCATTGCGTATGAAATCAAAATCCATGGCCTGGCTTAGACTAACAAAATCCAGAAAGTTCAGCATGGAAGCAAAGCATTTATCCTCATTTCACCTCTCTATCCTGGGTTTCTAGGCATTTCTTATCACAAATTATGTAGTTACTTATTGTTTGACCCTTCCAGGACTTTAGGTTCAGTGAAGTGAGTAAATGCCAGGTGGCCAAATTCTGCTCCCAATTACTTCAGACTCTGTACCATGGTAACTCGTATTTGTTGCAGAGCTGTTACTCTAGATTTATCTGACTGTAACTGGATACTGAATTTGTTCAATAGCTTCTGTCATATTTAGTGACTTGTCAGCTCAAACCAGGCTTTTAATACAGGATTTGTATGTAAATTGGATAATGCGCAATTTAACTGAATCTCTTCTTCAATAGGACTTGAAGAATTGGAAATATAGATGTAACACAAGTTTTCAGTAGAGGCAAGAAACCACAGTGCTGTTTTGCATGGCTAAAAGCTATAAGCATTCCGTTCTGATGACCTTTTTAGTGGAAATTCTGGTATGACAGAACTAAAAGCTTCAGGGAAACTATTTTATGTGTACACACATAAATAGCCTTGCAAGTTAAGATGAGAAGGACTTTTAAAGTCAAAAAAAAGTCTTAAAAAAATTCCAGTAATGACATTCTGAAATAGAGACAACTTAAATATAGGAAGTTCATATTTTCCTTTCTGGTGGCAGGACCTCAGAGGCCTCACAGATTTCTGCATCCGGCTTCCTCTTAGAGTGAGGTGGGTTCCACCCCAGGCTGGCACCCCAAGGAAAGTCCCAGGAGGCCTGTAGAGAGCTGCAAGGGTTTAAGCACTGGACAAATTTACTGTTTTGTAAATCAGATTCTTGGTTTGACCGTGTTCTGTGTTGATGCATCTTTAGGGGGTGTTTAGGGAAAGTTTGTTTACGGTATTACCTAGAAAGACATATTTTAAATTATTAAAGTCTGTAAAGGGAAAACACACCATCCTTTTTATTACACATAAATTTGTTATCTAAGTATGAATGAATAGAAATTGATTAGCAAAAACTTACTTAAATATTGTCGCAATACTTTTAAGTGGTAACAAATTTGATAATGCTTATTTGAAGTATCACTTTTGATAGCAATATCCTTGTTTTGGAGAAAACGTATGTTTTAAGGCCTAATTTTGAATGTGAGACTCAAAGAACTGTTTGTTGTATGAAGGGGAAAGTTAAGGAAAATATTCTAAAGTCTCTGCTGAGCTACAGCCCAATCTAAACGTTATACAAAGGTAAGACTTTTTGTCAGTGATCATGAATTCTGTCGCTACATTCCTTCACCATGTTGCTTTTTCCGATATAATTTTTCCAAGTAAATCTCAGTTGATGCCTCTCATTTAAAGTCTGGAGCATGATAGATTTGCACTGACATGCATGCCTTATATAATTCCAAGAGGTAGCCATATGCAGTAATGATTAAGAAAAACAGTAAAAGGGAGAGTACATTTAGGCTGAGAGGACTCAATCACTCCTTCCAGTGGATGTAGCTGGCTGAAGAAACCCATCATTTTGAAATGTGCCATTATATAGTGCATTCAAATGGTGTGGAAAGGTTTGAAAGCTGTGAAAGTAATAATTCCTGAGTAGCAGCTGTGGACACAGTGATAAAAATTTCTTTCTTACGAGAGGTTAAAATAAAGACTGCACCTTGGTAATTACCAGATAAAGCAATCTGACTTGCAGTAATTATAATAGGTAAGATAAAAGTCCACCTGATGTTTTAACATGAGGAAGATTTTGCTCACAAGCAGGAGTAAAATTCAAGGGCATTCATTACTTTGATATGGTATAAAGGAATGAATACTTTGATATGGTATAAAGGATTATTAGAGATGCTGCCATGCAAAAGGAAAGGTGACTGCATATTTACTGGGAAGGCAGCAGTCAGTTCTGCAGAATTTGAGTTCTCCCTAATTTTACTACTAAGACTTCAGCCATTCTTGGTGTAGGAAGACACTGATTTAAACTCACTGATCTTGAACAGCTGTTCAACGGTTTTTGTAGTTCTCTGTACAGAAGAAGAGCTTGTAGTTGTAAATTTTATTGTGCCTTTAGACAGAAAGGCTTCAATATTTCAGTCTTTTTCGCATGACCATAACAGAAATAGATCCTGAAATCTTCCTAGTACAAAGTAGTGTATTTACATATGTTGATAGATTTTAGAGAACACTTGCTTGAGATTTAAGTGTGTTTTACAAAATATTGCTTAAATTTTCATCTTTGAAAAAGTGGAAAGACTTTTTGAGTATGGAAGTAGAAGACAAGTTTCCAGTCCTGTGTGTATGAATCTAATAGTCATCTACTGTGCCGTCAAAGACAAATTAGTGAAGGTTTCTGTACCTGGGTTTTGTAGGTTTAATACAGAGAAAATAGTTGCAGAGTTATTCTGAAGCTTGCTCAAAAAAATCCCACTGTGTGATGTCTAGTGAATGCAAGCTATGTAAGTTCTCAAAATGTTTAGTGGAATTGTATATAGTTTTTTAAGTAATTCCTATACAGTTGGGCTAAGCCTTCCTGGTCAGAATATCCAAACAGGAGAGCATCCACTTATGGAAATCAGTACTTTAGTTATCCTATTTATTTTGCAGGCACTATCAAGACACTATTTTATTTGATGTAATTGTAAAAAGTTAGATTGCTCTGTAAGATACCTTGGTTATGGCAATCCCAGTAGAAGAATTATTGTAGGGATGTTACAGGAGGCAGGATTTGAGTACTCAGTTGCCTGAGGATGAGTGATACCACTTCTGAAATGTGGACATTACAAGCAGACTTTCCAGGAATAACATCACATGACTACCCACATGCATCTGTGGGTAGCTGGTTGAGCTTTTTCAGAAAATTTACAGGCTAGCTAATACTCATCCCTCGCTTACATACGTAACAGTGTAAATAGTTGGTGGCAGAAGAGCTTATAAACTAGTTGGAAGCTTTTTTTTCCTTTGTCTCACCTTTTCCTCTATCCCATCTTCTTCTGTCACATATATATATATATATGTTGTAAAGAGATATGTTTCTATTAATGGAATACTAGACTTTACCAATTAGTCTCTGTAAGTGAAACAACCTCCAAGATGCCAAATGTGGGCTAGCTGCTCAGGTAAAGTTGTTTTTTGGGGTTGTTTTTGTTTTGGTTGTTTTTTTGGTTGTTTTTTTCTTGTTGTTTTGTTTTGTTTTGTTTTTTTTCATTTTATGACTTAGTAAAATGAAGATATAACATAGTATGAATAACATTTAATAGCAGAACTGGAAATAGCCTCCAAGTCTGCTGATTTCCATACATACTGCCTGGACAGTGGAAAAAAAATTGGAAATTTAGAACATCTTTCCTAAAAGTCAGTAGAAAAGAGCAAACTGATCAAACTGTGCAGTCTCAGAGGATCTTGAATCTCTAACAGGGATAGTTTATCTGGAAATGGTTACGATACCCACTCTGTCTCCTTCCATGGTTTTCCTGTCTATGGAGCAGCAGCCTCACTGTGCTTTACAGCCCGATGTGTGAAGGTGACACACCAGGTTGTGATCAGTGACAGACAGCTGTAGGACAGAAAACCAAATATATGTTGTACATACATCTAGTATAAGCTGTCTCACTGATGACTTTTAACTTCCAAAATAGTCTCTTCTGTTTGCAAACATGTATGCATTTTATTATGCATGTTTTGCTGGCATGAGAAATGTGACAAAATTATTTGCTTCAGTTTCTGAGAGCAACTTTAGAATTTATGCTGTGCTTTTCAGGTTTTCAGCAAAATCAACCAACTAGCTGCTACTGTAGATGTCCTGTTGTCAGGGCAAAGAGGTGTTAGTGAAAGTAGCCACAGGTCTGATGTCTCCTGTATCCTCACTCCACACTTTTAGGTACAGTGTAAGCAGATTTTACGGAAGACCTTGAAATGCAAAATTAACTTTAAAACTGGTATTTTTGTCAATGTGTTGGTTAAGATGATGCTTTTTTTAGGCCTGTGTTGAACAACTGTCTTGCTTAAATCTTATTAATGATCCAGTATACACAGAGAGGTGTATCACTCCCAATAATTTTAAAGGATTTAAGAATTGGTAAAATAGATCTTGAGTTTGTTCATATTATACAAAAGTTTCTGGATTGTTTCAGCTATTACTCTTTACAGCTTTTATAAAAATAATTTTACAAGACACTTCAAACTCTTTCTGGTTACAGAACCTTTGTTGTTGCAGGTGCTTGTTGTACTTCTTCAGCTTACAAGAAAGTGATATAGCATATGAGATTTCAAAATAAATATCATAGCTTCTCCAAGTAATTATTTTATAAGTAAACTGAAACGGTTTAATTTTGGTAAAAGTGTTAACTGTCAAACTTGGCAAAATCCTGTGATTCCATGAAATTATGTGCTGCTTTTTGGACTAAAACATGAATAGTTGTGTGGGCAAAAGTGTCTTTGTGGAAGAGAACACT